GAGTAACGCCACCACCAGCAGGGGTTGCATCTGAATCAGCCAATCGACCAGGTGTGGGAGTCTCATCCCACCTATTCCTCCTCGAAAGCGAAGGAGTCGCATCGCCAACTCTTCCTGGAGTTGGGGTTGCATCCCACCTCCCAATCCCTGGAGTTGAATCCGGCATATCCCAATCAGATTGAGAAGTTTTAACTTTTTTCGCATTATTTTCGTCCTGAGATTGATCCCACCGATTCCTCCTCTTCTGGGTCTGCTGCGAAGCAGCATTAGCAGCAGGCTCTCTCTCCTTCTCTTCTCCTCCTCCAGAAGCTTTCCTCTCCTCCTCCTCTTTCTTCTTCTTAGCAATTAACCTCAATGTATCCTCTTTCTCTCTCTTCAAAGCCTCCTCCCTCATCACATCAGCATAAGTCCTCACAGACACATCGGGGGTCTTATCTCCACTCGCAAACGCATCGTGTCGCTCCGGAGAAATCACCCGATTCAATCGTCTCCGCCGATACTCATCTTCCCTATCAATAATCCTAGAAGGCTTCTTGAACCCCATCGATTCGTCTTCATCGACCCCTCTCGGCATATCCTTGAGAATGGATTTGGGGGCCGTGTACGAAGCCAATTTCCTGGCTACCTCCGAATCCATGGCGTCGAAATTCTCTTCCTCATCGTTAACAGGAATCGATTGCTCGTAACCCTCGAATGGGTTGTTTCCGCCATAGAGATCGGTATCGAAAGTAACTGAAGTTAGGGATGCAAGCTGTTGCTCCATCTTTTTCCTCTCTTCTTGAGTCTTCGCAATCTCAGGATCCATCGATGCCATTTTTTCGTGATTCAAATTCGACTCTTCAAAACCCTAACCCTAACCTTAACCCTAACCCTAACCTAGATTTTGATTTCTACCTGCAAAACATACATAATCATCAAATCAAGAACAAGACGAGAGTGTAAAATCGAATCAAAAACATAAAAAATTAAATTTTTTTAGAATAATAAACTAAGGTTTTAAAGGGAAGAAGAAGAAGATTTTGAGAAGAAGAAACTAACCTCTTCTTTTGTTCTTGTTCTGGTTGCGAGCGCACGATGGCGTGGTATTGGGAGCGCGAGTGAGAGTCAGGAGAGACTTGTGGGTCAGATGGATTCCTTTTATAACAGGTTTCATCGACTCTATCATTAGGATTTAATTTAGATGACATATTTTAAATAATTTATTTTTTTATCTTTTTATTTTTTTATCATCACATCATTTTTTTTTATTTTTTTGTATATCTTTTTATAAAAAAACAAAAAGTGCACTTATTTAGGTCATTCCAAACAACCCCTTAAGTTAAGTAATGTTGAGATACCAAATTTCTTATTAAATAAATGATTAAATGTGATGTGAGGTTTATATTTGTGAACCTTATATTCATATGAAATATTTGATCATTTACTTGATAGAAAATTTAGAATCTATAGAATTTTTTATTTAGGTTATTTACACAACAAAGACTTTCAATTATTACAAATCTTGTTTTACTTTTGAGTTTTGGGTAGCTCGAAAATTAGCTGCCTCGAATGGTTCGAATGTGTTGGCATTTATGAAGTTCGAATCCTCTGTCGTGATTCCCTACAATGGTTCTAGCGGTGGTGCCAAAACAATATCATTTTGACACTTTTTTCTCCTCCCCTCTCTTTTCTCTCTCAAACATTTGAGAACAGAGAGGCGAGGCGACGGCAAAAGAAAGAGAGGAAAATGAAGAGAAAGAGGAAGAGAGTACGCCGGAGATGGCTTCATTGGCCGAATGAAAAGCTACCAGAGTGGGTTTGTAGTGTTGAATCTCCATAGAAAAGAGAGAAATGAAAAAAATCAAAACCTCATTTCTCCTCAGCTTTCTCTTCTGTTTCCTCAACTTTCTCTCTCTAAAAACTACCAAAACCCACCACAAAATTGAAGTAAACACACTTTCTCTCTCTAAAAACTATCAAACTCACCAGAAAATTGAAGCAACCCCAACATGGGTTATTCAATTAACACGAACAAACAACATAAATCATTCATATTCAATACTCTATTTTTGGTTTCTTCAAGTACTTTCTTTCTTTTCTCTGATTTTTTCATTTCTTTCTTTGCGTTGTTTTTGGAGAGTTATTAATTTGTACATGAGTTTTGTTCTTAAAAAAACAGATCTGGAGAAAGAATGAGGAAGGGTGGTGTTGGGTCGGGCGAAGCTGGTAGGGGGGAGGGGAGGTCGAAAAGTGGGTCTGTGTGAGAGAGAGAAAGAGAGAAATTCAGGCCATTCGAGGGTTATAAATTCGAGCTACAAAATTTTATTCTATTTTATTCCCTTAATTTTTGAACTAGTTTATTTTGATTCTTAATTATAAAAATATATCATTTTTATTTATACAGACCATCTCTAAACCACCTTTAAAATGATGTATTTATACAATTTTTATAGTTGAAAGAGTTAATGTGTTCGCCTTCATAGCTGAAGGGAATAAAATGATATTAATTGGTTTTAGAAATTTATAGGGAAAAAATAAAAATAAAAATAGTTTTTATATATGTTATTTTTTCCATAAATACTTTTTTTTTTTTTTAAGATTTAATGGTGTTTGAAGTTGACTTTTTTAGTGATTTTTTTTTTTTTTCATTTTTAGTGGATTGTTTTAAACAAACTTCAAAAAACCTCACTCTTGAGTTCTATTTCAAAGAAAGGATCGAAAAAGAAAAATTTTAATTTATTTAAAAAAAAAGTCTAAAAAATTCACAAAAAAAAGTCTAAAAAATAATTATTATTTTATATGTTTAGTAATTTTTTATATTTTTAAATTCGTCTACAAGACTTAAAAATGTAAAAAAAGGTTAAATAATTTTCAAAAAAATTCATTAAAAAAAACTGTGACTTGTTTGAGCTATACATGGTCAAAAAAAAAATAAATAAATAAATCATATTTTAGCAAAGGATGCCCAGTGTGTTGGTTCCTTGCATGTTCCTTCTTTTAGTTTTGTCTTTTGTTTAGGTTTCGCCCCCTTTTGTCCCAAAATAAATAAATAAATGACCATATTTTTATTGTTGAATTGGTGGATCAAGTTCATAATTTTTTTTTTCTTTGTCTATATACAAATGTTGAACATTATAATGGCTAAGTTTAGGAATTAAAAGTTATATTAAAAATAGGGCAAACTTCACTTTACCCTCTTATGGTTTAAGCCGGGTGCAGATTACCCCTGATATTTGAAAATCACCACATAACCCTCATGTGGTTTGTGGACTAAAACGCACAGTTAGCTTTTCCGTTAAAGTGAAAGTCACGCACTTGCAAGGAGAGTAACATTATTTTTAAGACGAAAATGCCCCTAGCACATCTTCAAATTTATAAACAATGCCATCAGATCTGTAAACCTCTACCCAAGAAAAAAAAAAAAAAGATAAAAAGATAGTTTGATCTTACTGAATATGGTTTGATCTTCGTACTACCAAAATTTTTTGAGCTTCTTACTACCTAACTCTGGTTAATCCTACTCCGACACCACTCTCCGGTCAACCCCAGTCCAAAGCTACTCTCCGGTCAACTCCACTGTGACCTCCACAGTCGATCACCCCCATCAGCTTCGGACAACCCCAATCCAGAGCCACTGCCGCAAGCCACGGTCCAGATTACAGATTATATGTAACAATAGTTAATAAATGTTGGTGCTTGAGACTTAGGAAGAGAAAATGTGTAGCAATATATATAATCTGTACATATGTGTATGCAAATTATATAATTTATATATATATATATATATTAAGAGGGTAATTTATATGCGTAAATGTCACGACCCCAACCCGCCCCTAGTAGGATGGTGCCGTGATGGCCAGTAATCCGAGATTACCGAAGGCCACTTGCAAAATTTCACACACAATCAGAGTATAAATATATGGGGCTCACAAGTGCGGAAGCAATATATATAAGTCTAATTAGTCCATAAGAGCCGTGTATAAGTCAAATGGAATGGCATACATCTTTACATAGATTTACAACTTGAATACAAATAAAATGAAGTACCAAAAATACATATTACATCTTAACAAAAGGCTTCTCAAGCCGACATAACAAAATACATGAACTACAGGTCAAAAAACATAATCTGGAAGATTGCCGACATCATCACTGCCGACATAACATGCATACAAAACACACATCTCGGCGTAGCTGACTTCTTGCTTGTTACCTACATACATACATAGGGAGGGTGAGCTTGGATACTCAGTGAATGGTACAAGTAATAAAGGGGTTAAATGAATGATACTCAAGGTCTTTGCAAAACATACATAGTATATTTTTGTCAAAACCATACATAACATAGCTTAGCTTGGCTTGAAATAAAACATCAATCGAACCTTGGTCTTTCAAAACTTACTTACTTACTTAACATACGTCAACTTAAAACATGGGGTGATGACATTCCGGGCAAAACAAAAGCATAACCTCGGCATCGAGCACACCCGTTCATAGTCCGTCGGTGGCCGATATCTTAACAAGGGTACTACTTAGGATTAACGTCCCCTAGCACGAAAGAACAGTGCTACCTAGGCTTAAAGCCCCTAGCACGGAAGGACTATGCTACATAGGCTTAAAGTCCCCTAGCACGGAAGGACTATGCTACATAGGCTTAAAGTCCCCTAGCACGGGAGGACTTGTGTCACAAATGCTTAAAGTCCCCTGGCACATACGGACTATGTTACCTAGGCTTAACGTCCCCTAACACGAAAGGACGGTGTTACCTAGGCTTAACGTCCCCTAACATGAAAGGATGGTTCCAAGAATGTCATCCAAAACAAAGCTTATACTTGATACATAAAATAGGGATATCATTCATGCTTAACAAATACTTTTATCAAAACAAGCCAAAGCTTTATCAAAACCTTAAGAACATAACTTTATTAAGAATTACCACTCACATAGCTCTTCGGACGTCGGGATCAAGGCAAGGGTCCAAGTCCTACAAACACATGGCAAAGTCTACTGAATGCACTCTCAAAACAAGTATTACATGCATGCAAATGATCTCGGAAAACATGCTGGGAGTCAAAACACTGTTTTACATGTCAGGAAGACATGCTGGGTACCACCCAGGTCTTGGTCAAGGTCTCACACCTCCTGGCCGAGGTGTGGCTACCTAGGCTTCGGCATGCGGTTGCATACCGAGGTGCGCACAAAACAAACTAAAGGTATAGGTGATCATGCAAGGTAGGCCAAGGTGAGATACGATGCTTGGCCTAAGTGTGAGGTCTAGGTGAGAGTGATCTCGGCGACTACACTTCGGGAAGTGAGGTCTGGAGATCTGGGTTTCCACCCGTGAAGAACATGAAGAACATGAACATGAAGATCATGAATAACATAAATGCTAAAATCATAACTTCTTTATTACAAAAATCTGGGATTTCATGCTATTAGTTCGAAACATGGACCTGGGTACCCATACTTGAAAATCATATGAAAACAAACACAAAAACATGGATCTAGGGATGAGCCTTCGGATCAAAACATGACTTTTCTTGAAGAAAACAATGAATGCCATTTTCTCTTTCTAAAACCGAACTTCAAAGCAATGCATGGCTTACAAATCATATTCAATCATGCAATGCAATAACATAAACATAAAGAACAACAAGAGCAGATCAAGAATCTAACCTTAGAACACGGATCTAACGGTTCGATCTCTAGGGATCAAGCTTGGAAATCTACTCTCCTCAAGAACTCCTATCCATCTTCTAGAGCTTCTCTCTCTCTTCTTCAAAAACAAGTATAGAAAATGATAGGTTTCTCCCTCTGCCGGCTGACTTAACACTCAGCTCGGACACGTGGCAACGGCTGGTTGGCTCTCCTAAAAAAGGTGATAGATTGACAAGACAAAACTATGACAAAGTGTATCTAACAAGCTACTCGGTTTGGCACTTCGACAAGTGATGACATCGGCTAAGGACTAAGCTTCTGCAACTAAGGTGACAATGACCTCGGCTAGGAAGGACAACACTTGACTAAGCTGTGCCACACCTTGGCCTAGATGTGCCACACCTCGATCTAGGTCATACCACTCCAGGACAAGGCCACTCAGGTGCAAAGGTAATATCTCGGCCTAGATAATACACATCTCGGCCTTGGTAATGAACATCTCGGCCTAGATAATGACAACTCGGC